AATCCATGCTTTTATTATGAATACATACCACCAACAACAGCATTACTTAATAAATCAATTTTATTCTGAACGACTTGACCACTTTGTTTTACGAGGTCGACAAGAGGCATATCAGATATCTCGGATTCGGTTCGTCGTGTTTGAGAATGTGAATCTTGAGCTTAATTTGAAGATTTAATTTTAGAATTATCACTCTCTATTTTATTTGCCAGTACATTCAAATATTTTACCTTCAGCCGGTTTAAACCCAACTCCTTCTGATGCTGTCGACCCTTCAGCTGGAATATGTGCTGGTGGGATTTTATCGCTTTGATCTTTTTTACCAACTAAAATTATAATTCTAAATAAGTAAATTAAAATGCAAGAAAATCCATGCTTTTATTATGAATACATACCACCAACAACAGCATTACTTAATAAATCAATTTTATTCTGAACGACTTGGCCACCTTGTTTTACGAGGTCGACAAGAGACATATCAGATATCTCGGATTCGGTTCGTTGTGTTTGAGAATGATTTGAAGGTTCAGAATTATCATTATCATTCATTTTACTTGCACTAGAACTTTCCAAAGTTACATCCGAATATACATCATTATCATTCTTTTCTTGGTCATAGGTTTCCGCAGTTTTGGAATTCAAGTTGTTATTATTAGGTTTAAATGGCAACATTTTGGTTCAATGGAGAAGTTTTTATCGTTTTAGATTCTTGATGTTAGTTTGACCTGCCTGTTCTTTATATTGAGAATGAGATCACACTGACGCGCGTCGATTCTGGAACTTTTTGATGCCACAACATGATGATATCATAATTATGATATATAAATATTAGTGATCTAACGCTATGGATAAACTGGAGGAAGATCTACCGATACTTTCGCATTGATGACAACATTATGATGCATATTTGTTTGTTTGTTTGTTGGATACTTTTGGATAAAATGTGACGAACTTGTTGTGTAATGCCGATCATCTTCTTTAGGGTGTTTCGCGACACGTGTACGACGAAAAAAACAACTATAAGAGTGTGTCGCATTGGAAAAATGAGAGGGAAACATTTCAATCAAGTCAAATCAAATCAAATTTCAATCAAATCAAATCAAATTACAATTTAGTGAAGACATTTTTCAAGTAAAAGTTTATTCTGACAAAATCTATAATCACAAAATGAGCTCGCAAGTTGCAACAAATGAAACTGGTGGTAAGTTAGCAGCATATATGAGCTTTTAATTACTTAGAAACCAACAATTTTATAAATTAACAAATTTATAGCACATCCGCATGACTCCGGCAAAAAAACGGACGATAATGTTCCATATGCGTATATTCCGACAAAAGGGTCAACAGCATTGAGTGGACTCGGTGCGATCTCCAAAGATATAATTAATAAATTTGGTAAATCCTGATATTTTCTTCTCGATTAATTTGAGCTGATTTAAATTATTTCAATAAACTTAACTTTTTACTCTTCGTATAGTTGGATATGACAACAATAAATCACCTGCTAACGAAACTCATACTGATGATAACTCAAGAATCTCGACAAAACCTGTAGATTCTAAAAAAATCGAAGATCCATCATCAAAAACTAATAGCAGTGATACTCGTAGCGAAACCCGTGGCTTAAATGGCACCCACAGCGAAACCCGTGGCTCAGATGGCTTAAATAGTACTCGTGGCTTAGATGGTACCCATAGCGAAGCCCATGGCTTAACTGGCACCCATGGTGAAGCTCGTGGCTTAAATAGTACCAATATGGAAGCCCGTAGCTTAGATGGCTCAAATGTTTCTGTCCATGGCTCAAATGGTATTGATAACGTCCATCCAAACAAAAACTCGGCATTTGGTGTTGGAACAAATACAGCTGGTGGTAAGTTATCAACATATATGGGCTTTTAATCAGTCGATTAATTTTAGTTGATTTAATAAATTCACTTTTTACTTTTTTGTATAGCTGGATCTAACGAAATTCATACTGACAATCACACTAAGCATCATCATCAAGAGCCACTTCATCAAGAGCACCATTCTGATCTACATAATCAGGAACATCATCAAGGACCACATCATACTGACCTGCATAATCAAGAACATCATCAAGAACCACATCATACTGACCTACATAATCAGGAACATCATCATCAAGGACCACATCATACTGACCTACATAATCAGGAACATCATCATCAAGAACCACATCATCAAGAACCGTTCAAACAACATCAAGAGCCGTTCAAACATCAAGCCAATAAATTTTCCTCTCCTGATGATGATCTAAAAAACGATCGACATAATCCCGTAAATCAGCATATTCCTGGAGATAAGCATATTCCCGGAAACCAGCATATTCCTGGAGATAAGCATAATCTTGGAGATAAGCATATTCCCGTAAATCAGCATATTCCTGGAGATAAGCATATTCCCGGAAACCAGCATATTCCTGGAGATAAGCATAATCTTGGAGATAAGCATATTCCCGGAAATCAACATATTCCCGGAAACCAGCATATTCCTGGAGATAAGCATAATCTTGGAGATAAGCATATTCCCGGAAATCAGCATATTCCCGGAAACCAGCATATTCCCGGAAACCAGCATATTCCTGGAGATAAGCATAAGCTTGGAGATAAGCATATTCCCGGAAATCAGCATATTCCCGGAAATCGATCGTCTCCAAATGATGTAAATAAACTAACAAAAGCTGGCGGAAAACTCGATAAAGCTTATGGAACTGTAGTGGTAAATTTCTTTTTTTGGAGCGTGCGCGTTATTTGATGTTATTATATAAAGCTAATCTAATGTCTGATTTATAACTTAGGAAAAAGTCGGGAAAATAGTTGGTAGTGAGTCTATGGAAATTAAGGGACACGAACATAAAAGACACGGAACGCTTAAAACTAAAGGAATAGTTACTAACGAGGGGAAATATTAATTATTGGGAATTTATATTTTATTGAAAGTATTATTATATAGTATACTTTATACATGAATGTAGTTATTTCAAAAAATTCATATCAATATATTATGCGTGACTTTATCAATATATTATCGTTATGCGTGTATTTAATCTCGTGACTTAATAGAGGAATCGATTCTCTAATTTAAAATCTTCAGAGATTCGATTTTGAGACTAAAATCGAGGAAATCGATTCTTAGAATTGATTTGTTCTTCAAAATCGATAGCAATAGTGCCATAGAAATAATAATATAAACTAAATTCGTTGTTGTCGTCGTCATCGTACATGTAATTTGTATTTAACCAACTTGATTAATCGAAATGGTGAAGGTAAGAGTTGAATGAATTTTAATATATTTTGGTTATTGAAAATATAGCATAACGATAACAATAAAGCGCAGATTAATACTGATCTGATGACTTGTAGAAATAAAATATATCCAGTAATTTTACTTCGAATTATTACAAATCTTTTTGTTAGCATTGATAACAATTCTCTAGAATTTCATGAATTTGACTACCGTTATTTCGTGAACTAAAGTATCCCTCTGTAGAAAATACAAACCTTTAATAAACTATTATTCAGTAACGTAAATTTTGATGAAATTGCACCGTGATTCTTGTTTTATTCATTGTTCAGATTAAATAAAGTTCTATGGAAGTACGGTAGATCGTTATCATAAATACTAAAATTAGTACTTTTCGGACTAATCATGCTTAGAGATTTTCATTGCATTATACATGCACATCAAATCAGTTCTTGAACATATCGTTGTACAAACAAGAATGGATTTAGTTAATAAAAGAAAAACCAATAAAATTTAACTGCTTGGCTAAACGTAATTTACCAAAACATAATTCATAAGCACCCGTCAATTGCACAGTAATTTTTAATAGAAGAAACGCGTACTAATAGGTCATCTTTTAGAAGAAGTACATGCATATGGATTCACGCAGAAAACTGTGTTTGGCCTTCATTGGAAATATTATATTTGTGGCATATATTCAGCGTAAATGTTTTTTTATATAGATATAGAATTTTTATTTGTTATATAATTTAAAAAATTATATTTTGCTTATACATGTAATTGTTATTTTTCAGAGAACTAATATTGGTGTAAATATACATGTGGAACAGCATAAATAACGAATAAATTTAAGTAAATTATTTGTGATTCCCAAAAATCTTCTTTAACTTCTTGAAAGGTCTTGACTGATCTATTTAAAGCAAAATCCAGTGCGCGCTGTAAATGATGAGAATTTCTGTATTTATTATATAATGATAAAAAATTGTTAGGTTCTTACAAAATTTATAATTACATTCTTTAAAATGTGTTTAAGTGTTTGCGTATTACCCTTTTTATAGAATATTATAATGAATATTTTGCTTTTACTTAAGCAAATAATTCCAAAAAAATAAGAGGTTTTAAAAATTGTAATAAAAATGAATGCCTTTAATTTATATTTGGTCAAATTATTTTAAATATTTTAAACTATCATTTTTATGCTATAAAAAATTATTTATGAGAACTTGTTGAAATTGCCTAACAAAATTTTTAATAGTTTGCTAATTTTTGCAAAAAATTACATAATAATAGTAGGTTATTATAATAATCTAATCTAATCAATCTAATAAAATTTTTTTCTTTAAATTTTAAAGAATAAATTTTTGATTTTTAACAGTCCCAATGTAGCTTTCTTGTTTAAAACCAATAAAATAAAATTTTATCTTTAAGTGGGTTGTATGGATAGAGTTGAAAGCGGATAAATAAAGATATGCATGAGAAACGTTGGAATGTACTGTTCAATATATTGATTTAATTTCTTCGTTGGTGTGAAGGAAAACAAATAAATGACTGCGGTTTGTGTCATCATAATTTTTTATAAAAAGATGTCAGTTCTTTTAAAAAATTATATTTTTCTCTATTTTTCTCTGATTTTTTTATTCTAAAATGGTCTTACCACAATCTTCTGGAACTCTACAAGACCGTAAAAACAAAAAACCTAATGAAATCGACACTACAGGAAGAAGATATATATTCACAGTAAGAGGAACCTCTTATCCTCAACTACGACGATTAAATAATGCCAAACAATCAACCAATTGTAAATATTGTGATAAAAATAGCCAATACATTGACATTCTTGAAGCTCGTTTAGATGACATAGACAATGTAATCGATGATTTAGCCGAAATTGTTTCAAAAAACAATAACAGCTCTGATTCGAATATGGATGGTTTAGATCTTTCAACTATTGTAAGTAACTTGAAAATTACAAGAGAAAAGAAAAATTTAATGATATATCTTTTTATTTTTTTTTAGGATATACAGAATCTATTAATGATTTCAAATAATATCGGACTTGGATTATACGATAAATCGTAAATCTCCAAAAGAATGAGAAAGAACGAAAATCTTTGGCATTTAATCTTCGCGTAATTGTAGATTAGACATACAATGTGGAATCTGATAATTAGTTTTATTGGTTCTTACGCTTCGACTTGCTTAAAAGAAATTTACAAAGTAAAATATGATTAATCATTCAAACATATTTTTATTGAACTGCATTTGCCACATAACATATTTATTGTATAGCTAAAGGCTATCATTTAAAGCAATTACATAGATAGACATATAATAAATTCTGAAAAGAGAGCATCATATCGATATGATTTAAGTTTGTATAGATTTATCGTTATCATTAATTTTTTTAATATGTACAACATTTTGTAATCGATTATATACTGTATTCGGCTAATGTTAATGTTACCGTTACCGTTATCGTTATTTATGCAATAAATTTAATGTCCATTGCATGTGTAATGGGTGTTTAATCATTTGTGCGAATGTTTTTAATTTAACGTTGTTGCAAAAAAGAGAATTTAATAATGCTTTTACTTTAAATAATATCTATTTAGAACCATTTTTTCTATGACATGAGGAATTCAATGTTCAACACATGTTAAATTATTAATTCTTTCTCAAACCAGGGTTTCGTATCAATAGTAACTTGCACATTTTTCGATCGTAATTTGTTAGACTTTGATATCAGTTAATAAAATTGCGAACGAATAGGAGAACTTTAATTTATTTTTCATTTAAAATGTAATTTGGCAATTGCAGCACGTAAATTTAATTAATATTTATCAACTGTGTTTCTTTTCGAAACTCATGTATGTAAATAATATCAGGAATAGCTAAAAGAGATCCCACTAATTTATTTCTGTTATAATTGTTACCAATTTATGTATTTCATTAATGCTGAAGTTATAAACGTTTTAACATAAGTACTTAATTCTTTTGTCATTGCAGCCTGTAATTCAAGATAAAAATATTAAAAGAACCTAATTACTATGTTTCGTTAGGTTCAAGATTCAAAATATGCGAAGAAGGGATAATAATTTAAATCAAGTAAAAACTATTTATGTTCAACGAATCATTGAATTTTAGTTTAGTAATTTTCATCTATTTTTAGACTGCGGTGTATGAGTATGTTTCGTCAAACTCAATCACAAGAATAGAATTTGGCGTTTTGATTAGCGGTAATTTATAATTTCGAGGAAGATTAAGACGTTTTGGCCTTTTTGAGTGTTAAATTGATCTTTTTATTTAGAAACATATAAAACAACTTAATAAAATAATATCAAGAAACTAGAGAACAAAAAAGAACAGAACGAAGGACGAAGTAACGAAAGAACGCACGAGCTAATGAAAACAACATCTAATAAAATTCGCAAAGATTGAAAGAACAGAACGAAGGACAAAGTAACGAAAGAACGAAAGAACATGCGAGTCAATGAAAACACCGTACAATAATAAAATTCACAAAATTAATGCTAGAAATATTATTTGTGAGCACGATTTATATAAAGGAATAAAATTTATGATTATGAATGAGGAGGCTGAAAAAGGAGATAAATGGTTAACAAGAGAATAAATTTATCGTGGTAAAACATTTAGCATTCAAACGAAATTTTAAGTATAAATTATTAAGAGAAGTCATCATATAGCAAGTTGTCAAAAATGCCATTTGATAAATCATATTCTGTCATATATAGTTGTGAAAGTGGCTGCGATAAGGGTATCTGTGGTGTCACCGTTGAAGAAGTATTATCATTATTGATATTAATTATACTACTTTCACTACTTTGGGTTTCATAAATTTTATTTTGCTCGGAAGAAATTAATTCGCTTAAATGAATTTCATACGTGTCTGTATTTTTATCATTATCGTTGTTGTTAATATTATTATCGTTATTGTCAAAGAAAAATAAGATAGGATCCAATCCATTAAACGCGTCGCCGATCAAATTTTCATTATAGTTATAGTCTTGATTATATGTAATTGTTGTATCGGCTTGATGATCATAAGTGGTTGTCAAAATTGATGACGACCCATCGATTTGTGTTACCTCTTGAGGTGAATTGAAAGTTAAAAACGACGTCTCGTCGATTTGTATTGCTTCCTGAGGTGAATTGAAAGTTAAAAATGACGGCCCGTCGATTTGTATTGCTTCTTGAGGTGAGTTGGAAGCTAAAGATGACGACGTCCCGTCGATTTGCATCGCTTCCTGAGGTGAATTAAATTTTGTTGTGTTGAACTTAACTGACGAAGTAAATGCATATTTTTTCTGTTCTCGAAAACGAAGTTCTTTACAGTTTGAATTTTTTGCATTTTTTGGTTTATATTTATAATTAGGATATATACGCTTATGATTCTCACAAGCCATTTTCTCCAATATTTTGAAAAAATCCTTGACTTCACTTGATTGCAATTTCCACTTTAAGCTGCATTCATTTGCTGTGTTTTTGACTTTTTGCTTAACACCAGGACTACGTAGACGTATATTAGCTTCAAAATCTTTTCGAAAGATAATCCAACTGTTTTGCGGTCGTGGTGGTTTATCACAATTATTGCGAATTTTTTTGGCAGGCTTTGTTAATTCTTCAATTGTGAGAGTTAGAGTATAAGGACATTTATTCAGAAGCTTTCTTTCAGTTTCTGATAAATATTCGATATCGTTCATTTTTCTACCTTTTTGAGGGTAAGGGTGATTGAGATTGTATGTCGTTTAAGTATTAAATATGTTTGAAGTATTGTATACTTGCAAAAGAATTAGCTGTTTTATATACAAGTTCTTTGAACTTCCGAAAAATCGAACGTTTTTTTTATACATTCTTATTGAAGCTCTACTAATTTATACATATTTATTGAAGATCTTTACTAATTCAGTAATTCAGTAAAAATGGTTATTGAAGATCTTTACTAAAATTGGTTAGTGAAGATCTTTACTAAGTCAGTAATTCAGTAAAAATGGTTATTGAAGATCTTTACTAATTTAGTAATTCAGTAAAAATGGTTATTGAAGATCTTTACTAAAAATGGTTATTGAAGATCTTTACTAATTCAGTAATTCAGTAAAAATGGTTATTGAAGATCTTTACTAATTCAGCAAAAAACCAGTCTCATCTTTGATAATATAATGCAAACCACTAAATTTTTCGATCAATTTATTTTTTGTCAATTGTACACTGACAAATCTTTCTTTTCGAAATAACCAATAACAAATAATCCATAATTAGAAATCACTTCACTTCTTATGTGAATAATACACTTGTTACAATAAATTCGTGCTAAAGTTATATATGCAGTTGTGGATCTCGTTATAGAATTCACGATAACCTAATTTTGATCTCGTATTAAAAAAATGAGCCTGGATAAATTTGTACGAAAAGGCAATTTTTTTCTCCCACCTCAGCAAATAAATATCCATCTCACCATGATTTAATTACTTTACGAAGTATAATAATAAATTCATAATACAAAAACTGCATATAGCTCCAAATCTTACATAGAACTTATTTTTTGCAGAGCGTGAAAATTTTTTGTAGTAATATTAATTTTCAAATATGCACGATGCTCCCAATTTGCATTGTATGTGTCGCTCCACAATGAACTACAACCATCACATTTATCCGCAACTGTATGATTTAACCCATTTATTGAATATTTAATACTTCGCTAGTCATCCCTGGCTTCAATACATGCTAAAATTCGTGTAGGCCATTTCGTTTGGTGCTTGCTCCTTCTTCAGAGATCCTAAGCTATCAATTGTGCCACGGATCGTTGATTTAGAACATTGCTAATCGTCAAATGACTTCAACATTCCAATAACTTGCTCACGTCCAAAAGATGTAAGTTGTCTTTTCGGTATTGCGTAAAACGCGTAAAAAAGAAATAAAAATTAGTTGCAAAAAATTTACTATTAATAAATTTCTATTAAATAAAAAATGTAGCTACGCGGAATTTTAAAAATTGCAAAAATCGAGGGCGAATAGTTTTTGGAAGGGCCTGTATACCAAAAATACACACATAATTCTTTGTACAATTTGATAATGCTTTTCCTCTATTAAACCAAGTATAGTTGACAAGTCTTTGAATGTTCTCCTGCATCCACTGAAACATAGAATACTTCTAGATATTGGTTTTATTCTTTTAATAAATCATAAAGTTTGATATACAGAGAAACCTCACTCTATAAATGCATACACTATATACACACTCAGCTATGGTTCAGCCAAAAATTATAAGGCCTCTAATTATTTACGCTCAATAAATGCGCACCCTCTCTAAATGCACACTCTGTCTTTCTTTAATATGGTTCAAGGGGGGGGGGTGCACTTAGAGAGGTTTATCTGTATATGCAAGGAAGAGGATCTTGTGTTGTTATTGTAAAAGATTAATTTTTCATTTGGAGTATGTTTCCAAGGTTAGATAGATAATTTGAATGAACAATTTATGCTAAGATTTTACACATAGAAAATTATGTTATAGAATCTTACTTGTCCTATTCGTCTAACTTTTCTGTTCTATTTACCACAGGTGAAGAAGTGTTGGCACACTAATGATTTTTTTGGGTAAACCTCTAGAGGAATTCCGTATTTCCTAGTGATTTTATTGAGGTTCATGTTTTTTCTCCTAAATTCAATGAATTATTATAACCAACTAGAAACCGCTAGGAAATCCGAAATTCCTCTAGAGCTGCATACTATTCTCGCATAAATTATTATCTTTTCTCAATGGGATATTTAGATAATATGCATGTGTGTATATACATGTATAAAAGGCAACGTTTTGTAAATATTATTTTTTAGAGAAAGAAAAACAGCAACACAAACTAAAAATAAAATCGGTTGTATGGTGCCGGAATCTTTGATCTTTCTGTCCATGGATGTTACAATAACTCTGTCCTATGGTACAAATCAACAAACTTTCTTAATAAGGAATTTTTGTTTTTGTTTTTGGTCGTTTTAATCTTCAATCTACATTTCAGGATTTTTAGAGGATTTGGCGTAAAATGGCGTTGTTATTCATTTCGACATTCCTGCACGGGGTTTAAAGTTTATTCTTCTCAATAGGTAGGAAGCACAGCGTTAAGAGGAGCGATATGCGCGTCGATAAACCAAGTTAAATTCGTTAAGACGAAACCATCATATGCCGAAGATGCATTAAAACGAAATTTTTCGTTCCAAAATTTATATGATTTATATGTATATTCGGCTTAGCGTGAAGTTTAATAGTTGATAAGCCAAACATTTGGCACTCTCCCGAAATTTTCGTCTTAACGAGTTTCACTTGTAAATGTTTTACAATATACATTTTCGTTAAATAATCTACGCAGTGGTGAGTAATAATATATCGAAGACTCGAAGTACATATATATTTATGATAATTCGTCGATCCTCGAAATATCTCTATTATTCCAAAGTTTCAAATAAGGGCATTTACTTTGTCTTCAATTACATTAATATGTGATTCAAGAATTTCGAAATTTTCGATTTCGTTGTTTTCGATTTTGGAATTTTATTTATTGAATTTCGCGCGTCTTCCGCGTATCGAAAGATAGAATGACGATCAGTTATGTCTATTTCAAAACGTTTCTTCGTAGTGTTTTGGAAGATGTGGTGGTGTGAGAAGTTGGTAGAAGTCTTTGAAGTAGCCGTATTTATATTTCTATACAGTATATTGATATCGATAATGCTGTATATGGGATATTATTCTTTACTTTTGCATGTAATTCTAGGAGATAATACAGTAATTTTTAATTGTGCATTTTTTAAACATCATGTTGGGTGAAATGATAAGTATAAGCAATAAGTTTGGAAATAATTGCGAGAACAAGTCAGTTGATAATTCGAATTGTATCAAAGTTCTGTGGTTATGATCAATCACATAAAGAAATGCACAGTGACTCTGTTTATAGTGTATCAAAAATATAATAGTTCGCTACCAATCCTCTATATCGAGATTTCAATTAGTTTCCAGTATAAAGGAGTCCACTAGAAAGAGCATGATTGTGTAATTAGATTGCGCAGTTTGTGTATGATAGATATTTATTCAATTAAGTTTTTAGAAAATTGGTAAAAGATATAGCAGTTTTTCTATGCATTGAACTTTTAGATCATATTGAACTTCCAATTGAATACGTACTGTGCACATTTTAAAGATTTGATCTCATAGTCGGATAATTAAATCTTGAATATTTTTTCCTTATAACAAAGTCAAAAATTAAAAAATACCATCAAGTTTCTCTTTTCAAAACTTTTAACTTTAACTCTACTCATCTTACTAAAAGCATGACATATTGGAAGATAATATACACTTTGAACTTGAAAGAGGTATCTTTTTCTCATAGTGTCTATTTCGTCGATATTGTATTTCCGAAGGTCGCCTTGATGAATTGAAGAAAAATATCCAACGAATATGATTTCGGATAAAAGAAATTACGAATTGAATGCGCGTTTATAATAAACGTGTTTTAGATAAAGAAAGTGGATAATGTGCAAATCAACAGATTTACTTTAAAAAATTTTACATTGAAGATTATGTAGTTCAAATTCATTAGGAAAGTTGCCGAATAATTTACTGCTTTCAACATAGAAATTTTAATCTCTATCAATAATTTTCTGATGTTAGAAGTTTATCGGTCCAAGACGTTGTCTTTTTTAGTTATTCAGTCACCTATTCATTGCGGAATCAAGTAATTATAAATATGTTTTTATCAGAATTTAATAAAATATAAAAAAGAACTAGTCAGCGCTGGCTATTTTTATTAAAGACAATTAAAAATCAATCTAAATTTCTATGAATGGTTTTAATCGACTTTTCTAAAAGTTATAATTTACCGACGAATAATCAGTATATTTTTATTTATTCTCTAAAGTATGTTCACAAAGTTCACAAGTGAACATAGATTCTTGGACATTTTCCAAAATACTCGTAACATTGTTTCTCGTAAAGCTCAATTTCCCAATAAATTTATATTCTGTTACTTTTGACGAGCACAGTACATATCTGACAAATATAATAAATTCTTTCTCAAAAGCTTGGCTTATAGATAACGAGCATCAGGTCGGTCTTTCAATGCATTGTGTGACTAGTAGCTTGAGATTTAGCTCGTGCCACTCTTTTCACATGATCAATTTGTCCGCAATAACGACTTTAATAGCTGTGGCCTAATCTCTATGACTCATGTTTTTGTATAAGAAATACAAATTACGTACGACTCAGATTGGCTCAGAGGACAAGCTGGGGTCTTTTGAGCCAAGCAAACCTAAACATCTTTATATAATTATTGCATTTAGTTCGTTTTAAATTATAATATAAAGAAATCAAATTAATACGTGATATTACGCATTTACATAACGATAATGTTTTAGTAATTACGATTACCCTTTTTTACCTGTGTAAAAAAATCTTGAAAATCGCATTGAGAAATAGAATTTATATGTGTTGATCAATTTTTTATTCGTGTTTTCTAATAATAATAAAGTACAGAGTTAAGAATAATCTTAAAAAAATAATACATCTGATTATGTCTACTTTCTATTTGGTTTTTATGAATGATGATGCTGTTAAATAAAGTAGTAAAAATGAATAACTAATGTTTGTATTGATAATGTCTATTATGAAAAAAATTTGAATATATCTAATTCAGCACTTATTTCTTGTTTTTGATCAAATTTCCTTGTTTCTAAATATGCCAAATATTTTTCTCCAAAAAGCCAATTTGCAATTTCTGGTTCTATTAGGATGCCGTTTCGTTTTTTCATTGTTATTATATATCGAATATCGCTTTCGGATTTACGAAGTTCGTTGAAGAAATCGGTAAAACATAGATAATCATTATTGCTGTTCGAATATGACTGTGGTCTATTAAAGCAATGATTTTTCTCTTCGACTGAGAGTTTATATCGGGAAGCTAAAGTTTCCCAACTTGATAATGAGTCTAGTGGTGATGTGATTCTGTTCACTGATACTCCAGGTGTCAGCTGTAATTGCTGTTTTGCGTGCATTCTATAAGTCATTATTATAAGTCTTAATATTGCTATCGTTTCTGTTATTCCAGTTGAAAATTTAATTAATATAAAAAATATCAAATTAATTGAAAATAAAAAAAATGTACAATCACTTATATACGTACATGTAAAACTATCACCTTTCGGATCAACAAACTAGGAAAACAAAAACGGCCGTGATGATCATCCGGTATTTTTTTTGTGCATGGATACAAAGTGGCGCGAAATTTTTATGCTACAAATTAAGCAATACCATGATTCAATGGTATAATTATGGTCTATTCAGCTTTTTTTATTTTATCTAAAGATGTTATTCTGTAGACGTTTTCGTCATTTTTGAAGTCGATGATGTTATCTATAAAGTGGTTTAAATTTAACAAATCATGCGTATTTCCTTTAAATCGAAATCAATAACAATTTATTACTGATATCAAGCATTAAAATGAGGTAAAAGAGACAATAAATCATCAAACAGTTACAATTCTTATTTGAGAAAAAACAAGTTTTTAATGAAGCAAAATTTGCGCATTTTACTTTTTGAAAAACTATCGCTATGTACCGTAAAGCACTGCCTTTAGTATCCCTGCATATAGTCTTCTCACTTAAAACGTACCTCCTTTTACCAATGAGATGCTGAGACTATGAATAATTCCAATTCAATAAACAAGTTTTAAGACTCTAAACTGGAAATTTTGTTATTGAGTATTAATAGCTACATTATTTAACAAGGACATGTTAAATATTACTTTTGTAATAAAAATTAAATGGACTTATTGAAAATAATAAAAATGCAAAAATTTATTTAAGCTCTCAATGTAAATTACTATCAAGTAAACTTAGAAATTAGAATAAAAAATTAAATAAAAAATATTTGATAAACATATAAATGATTTGGGCATTATGCCAAGGAAAAACTTGTTAATTAACGTTAAGTCACTTTAAGCATTATCCACATGATCATAGCATTATTAAACTGGCAGCTCATACGGTCCAGCTGAAATTGAAGCCGTTTATTAAATGAACCGGCTTGGACCACAGCTAGCCACGGACTTTCTGAGCGACTGCATCACTAATTAGTAGGTAATATCAGAGAAAGGTGGTTCTTCCATTACAGGATCTCCACTATAAATAAGATCTAATGCATAAATCCAGAAAATTCATAATGTATTCTTTTTCATTACGTCATTTTAGACAGTTTCTAAAATAGTTATCATGAATTTTATTATCCCAAAAAGAAAAATATGTACATGCATCTCTATTAATGCACATGTGCAGAAATGACCAATGATAAATTTTCAGCCTACAGATATTATATTATTGGTTTTTTTGTTAAACAAATTTGTTGGTTTGGGATTTTTTTGCATGTTTCACTGTTATCAGAGCGCCGCCTATATAAATGAATATCGAGACAAACTCTTCAAATAATATTCCATTTTTATCGCACAATAACAATATGATCAATACACAAGAATCATCGAATAATCAAAATTCTGAAATCGCAAAGTTCAAGAATTCCTCTTCAAACATCGCGAAAAAAGAAACAACACTCTGCTTTACAGAATTTTTTTCGCAATTGCGTTCCGAAGAAAAGTCATTAAATTCAAGCATCGAAAGAAAAGACGATCAAAATGACACCAATTCTTTGAAAACATTTCTTTTTTTACCTGAAAACGAAAAAAATTTGGTTTTCGATGAGCCTGAGCAGATGACGATTGCAAAAGAAGACGACAGCGACGAAGACGTCGAAGAGAGCGGAGATGATGAGGATGAAAATAACACTCATAAACAATCACAAGAACAAGGATTCAAGCTTTCAATAGCAAATCGGCACAATTCGTTTTCAGCTGTTATAATAGATTGTTGATAGTGAAAAATTAGTTATTTAAACATAAATTTATTTTTATTCTTACAAATTATTTATTTTAAACACAATTTAATAAAACATAGCAAGTCACACTAATTTTTATTCTGTCGAAATAATATCAGAAGTTTGCTTGCATAATAAAAAATTCTTCAAAGCTATAATTGACTATTTTAATATAACAAAAGCTTAACTTCAATATCCCGATACATCTAACAAATATCCACTTTATTTTGTTTCAAACATCGTGTCGCAACATAAATTCATAACTATGTGATCAAACGGAAATCTCGGCTACTGTACAACTTTCCTATACCATATACAGCATATCTATTGTTTGTGACTGGTGAAAGAGCATAAACCGAATGTTACTTTTTGAGATAGAACAATAATTCATTTGATTGTTGAATTTTATTTAAATACAAACATGCATACAATTTCTTTTTTTAAATTAAATTAATATCGATATTGATTTTTTTAGAATTGCAATAGCATACATACATAATAAACCATTCGTTTAATAGAATTCCATAGAATGGAATCAATTAAACACGATTCTCAAGAACAAACAATCCAATTACTACAGCTTCAAACTACGACATCTCCACTCGAGTTAATTGCAAATTGGGAACAAATTCGAATTCTCAACATCGCACCTTCAAATACCACGACTAATAACCCTATTCCAGTCAATAAATCGTCAAAAATTTATAATAACTGTAGTCTCATAACATGTTCTCAAAGAGATTCCTTATGTTTTACTAAATTCTTTGAAGAACTTCGAGAAAAAGAGAAACATATTATTAAAAACACAAGTAATTCTTCAACTAAACGGCATGCTACATTATTTTCATCGCCGCAATTTATTCTGAGTATTTTTGAGAATGAAGGTATGCAAAGTTCTCTAGCAAGCGAAATAGATTTTGCTGCTGACTATATAAATGATAGATAATAGAATAAGGACAATTTAGAATAGATTTGTATAAATCTCAAGTTTGTATTATTAACGTCAAAATAAATAGAATGATTTTACTTAATCAAGAATATAAATTTCCATTAAATTATACAAATATTTAGACTTTGCAAACATTTATAGAACATATTAATATAATCTTACAAATGTTTAGTATATACAAAGTTAATAAAGGAGATTTATAAACACAAAAACTGCCATTCCCATTTATTAATATTGACTTATATATTTTTAAAAATTAATAATTTACAGTAAATACTAAAAATTAAGAACTTACTTCAGATATCTATATTAAATTGTCTATTATGTAAAAATACTAAAAATTAAGAACTTACTTCAGATATTTATATTAAATTGTCTATTATGTAAATTTTCATCAGTCTAATTTTTTGATTTTTATTTGAGTTAACCAGCTCAATATACATATAAGGATAATTATATATAAAATATTTTAAATAACATATTACAAGCAAAAAATATTATTATTATCACACTATTATATTTTAGTATTTTATAAATTAAAAATTTTACAAATTGAAACAATTTTCAGTTTAATTAAAACAATCTATAGATTTAATTTAAATTTTCGATTTATCACATAGTAACATAGTTTTAATTTAAATTTATAATATAATATATCACTTCGTAATTAACATTCATGCAAAAATCTTTATTTATAGTTATTTTTTACATTATTAAAATCGAGACAATTTATTATTTTAATTAGGAAATCCATAGTTTATTTTTATTTTATTAATTTTACAAAGTAATTGAGCAAATTTTAAATATTATAATACAACAGTCATAAGCTGTCATTTAATTGATTCTCCATTTAAAGTTATAATATTTCGTTAATTAAATTTGAGACAATTTATATGTAGTTTATTTTTATTTATTATTTCTACAAAGTAATTGAATTTAATTGTTGGAATATTATACAGCTGTTATCAAATAGATAACAATATGTGGGTAAAACTCACGAATGATTGAAAAAGGCTTTTGTTATATTTTATTTTAATTATTGCAAATTATATTATCATATTTTAAAATAACAATTAAATATACTTATTACAAAATTATTCTATTATAATAGGCTTACAAATTATTTTCAAGTAAACATGAATAATAAAAGAAATCTGTTTAATAATTTAAAATTAAAATAATTTAAAAAATCATCAGATTTAACTAATCATAGCTAGTTAATAATTAATCCATACAATTATTTAATTTAATTTTTCATGCTATTACATATATGCTCTTTAAGATACAACTGCATTTGTTGTAGTTTACGATTTTAATATCCAATGAGGCAGATCTAATAAGAAAAATACTATAAATGAATACAATAACGATATTTCAACAAAAAATTGATTTTAAATTTTATTATCAAAATTTTATGCTTTTTGCCTTTTTTATTCATAAAATATGACTATTTTGATTTACAATATATTCTATTTTTAATGCTGCTGCTGAAAAATACGATAAGAAAAAAATATAAGAAATTAATACACAACAAATTTTATGACTTATTTTAAAATTTTTATTCGATCTGGAAGATTGCGTTATCACATAAACAAGTCTTTTTTCTTCTAAAATTTTTTATTTTTAATCAATCAATCCACTATTTACTGATTAATTTTAAGTAACTAAATGAAATCATAATTAGTATAATGCCATTTATCAGGTGATTTATTATTAATTCCCCATTCACACATGATCATATATCTAATCAGTACATGATAAATTTCCACCCCAAAAAATCAGACGATAAATAATAATAATTTTACCAATAGATACTTTTGAATCTGGCAAATTCTGTAAAATACAAAGATAACTCTGGCCATTCCTTTCAACCTTCTAGTAACAAGCAACATAAAGCTAATTCTTTATTGTAAAACATACGTGTATCTATATATCTGTTGAAAGTCGAAACGAAATGTGACATATATCGATATACGTCCACAGTGAAACTCGATATAACAGAATCGTCAATGAAAATTCTGTTAATTAAGAAATCCGTTATATCGAGAAGGATTTATTACAATTCGTTCTGAATCTCAATCCGCTATATCGAGTTTTTATTAGTATCTGTGTGCACGTGTATGGTCACTTGACCAATAAAATTACTTGAATACATAAATATCAAAAGTAGAAACCGACCAATTCTACAATTTTATAATTGTCCTTAGGAAGTAAATACGAAATTTAATCCACAAATATGACCAAGAAAGACCTAAAGTATCATTTACTTCCTATTGACATAAGTCACGAATTCTGTACATGCATTAATTAGGCTGGACAATCTAATATATATTGTAACTTGATAAAAAAAAATGTGAATATTATTATGACACCATGCTCCCTATTTAATAATAACATAGCGATAAAAAGTTTAACCCTGAACTCTTTAGGTGACCCTTAATTTTCAATTTGTTATTAAAAATGGAAAATTGCCATGGTGCCAAAAACATATTCCGAAAAAAACAACCTTTATTTCTAAGAACACGTTTGCAAAAGCCGAAAGTTTTAAACTATAGATGAGATATCGATTTAATATCTTTTGTTTACAAAGATTTAATTTTAACACTCTTCACCATCTCTTCACCTGCCTGCATTTTTTTCAAAACATCTCTGGTGATTTTAAAAATAAATTAATCTATAATTAGCTTTTGCAAATCAAAATTTATTTCGAAAATTGTTAATACTATCGCTATATACGTATTACTCATACTAATCGAACACCATATTCTATATTCGTAAAACCCGGCCCAAAATCAAGATCGTTTAGGAACACAAAAAAAATGGAATATAGAAGTTTTCGCAAATGTAAATTGTTTTGTTGCATTTTTCAATTGTGTATCGATATTTAACACATCTGTCGAGTCATTTTGATCTAAACCTATTGGAACAAGCCTAAACATTTGGTCTTCAAGAATCTTTCGATCACTGCATGTTGGTGCATCATTAAACTCGAAATGTGCCCTAAATTTCTGTTTTTACTTTCGTAATTCCAGTCCTTTCATGCATGCACGACTAATAGAGCTGACTTCACAACTAACAACAAGCTTTTTGTCAGAAATTATTACTAAAAAAACTAAATTTAAACAAAACCATTTATTGTATCTCATTCTGCAGCTGCATCTGTAACAAAAGGAAAAAATCCTTAGGCACATCGTATGCCGGTGTATCCGAATAGTGACAAGCTTAATGCTTTACATTAAGATTGATTAAAAATAGCCGACCGATATATCTGAACGGTGACAAGCTTCATGCTTTATGCTGAGATTAACTAAAATAGAATAAGAAATCAAACAGGGGATTTTTAAACGTTACATAAGCTCATCGGTATGTCACGTTTGTTATTCAGTTTTGGATTTCAATTTGGGATAAACGTTAATAATATAATGGCTTGAAATAATGACAATGATAATCGTAATGAGCTAGATTGTCGCATTTTGCCAATGTTTCTAAGCTCACTTTAGCATTAAAAACATTGCTCACGTGAAACAGAAATTAGTGAACTTGTACAAACTTGATTCAAACAAGCTTTGTTCATTCATTTCGCTCCTACATATCGATATGCACCTACTCCCCTACCCATAATCATGGTAACATTAAGAACGAACCTATTGTAGATATTTGATGTTAAACAAAAAAAATCAATCTATTTTTAAATGAAAGTTTTAAACCAATCAACTAATATTCGACTTATTTTTAGAAAATAAATACAATATTCATCAATTCGTCATCATTGGGCTCTGTTGTCACACATGAAATTATTATATAACTGTTGGTGCTTAGCTCCCGGATTGTTTCATCAAAAACACTCCCGTTGAAAAAAAGATTTTTTCACAAAACGCAGTCAAAAATAACAGATCACACATAAATACATCCGTTTTTCAACTAGAGAATAAAATCATACTAGATACTAAAAAATGTCACAAACGATAACAATTTCGCCGCGTGTGAGTTCGCTAAATTATAATAAGCATGACAGTAATTCTTATAATAATTATAATACGAACAACAACACGACACAGATATCTTTAAGTTCGAGTTCAATAAAATCATACGAACAGACTTCTCCTAAAGAGAGAGTTTCTATACATACTCGAGAACCTCCGGTAACACGATCGATCGTGCCAATTAAAGCCGAGTGTCAAGAATCCAAAGTTCAACATAATCTCTCAAGATTTAATTCATCAACGATGATGAACCCAGGTCTACATCGTTATATATCACCAAAAAACAGAAATAAACTTGCGAGATATAATTCTTCCGATTCGAAAGTATCTTTGACAGAAAAGAGAGGTTCTTTAATATTCACAAATTTTTTTGATCGGCTTCGACAAGAGGAGAAAAAAGTAAATTTGGAAATTAAGCGAAGAAGCGAAACGTTAATCACAAAGTCGATTTCACCTTTAATTGGACCTTCTAAACATAATTCTTATTCTGGTCGAACAAATGTTTCCTTTTGCTAGCGCACATATTACATCTCTTATATATTAATTTAATTTGAATGAATTTATGTTTCCTTTGGACATTTCATTAAAAAAGTACGATAGGAATGATGACAAAAGATCGTTTTTGTTAGAAAACGACAATGCACTTGCCAACAACGCCAACTTTGACAATCTACCATACTACGTACATATGTAAATAATTATATTAGCTTACACATTTTCTACTGTATTTTTATTCGTACACACTTATATGTCGCTCTTATTAACTTTAATTATGTCATAATAAGTTGGACAAATCAATTCTTATGCGGTTCAATATCTTTTGTTTGACACAAAATACACAAAACGCCCAAAATAAATCTAAGACAATTTCTCTTGTTTGACAAAAATACACAAACATCAAAAATAAAATCCAAATCCAAAAACGTTGATTCGTATTTTTGGACATTATGAAATTAGAAACTACTGCTGCTTTGTTTAACCTCATGAAAATAAAACTGCAGCATATTTGCATACAACACAAACATTCGAAATATTTTTGTTACTTTTCGAAAACACATTCTCCGTTGACGTTGAATATACGAATTGTTTGTCTTTTCACAAACAGCGAAAAGGAAAAACACTAAACCTTTATGCCGTCCGTATTTGTCACGCTCGTATTAAATAAATAAACAAAGGGAAAAATAATCGCTTTGTTTATAATTATGGTGTAGTTCATCAATGGTTGTGTAACTTAGATAATGCTAAGCGCATGGCTATCACTATGCTGTCAATTCATTGAATCAATTCAAAGCCTCAAATTAATGGCTTTGACTCAATTATGCGGGGTTCCGACGAAACTCATTGACGTAGTACCAAAATCGCATCCTGCAAATGATCACTAAAAAATTACGTAATAGCAATACAATTACGTATACATGTATTAACGTTAATTAAAAGATAGGCAAGAACCGACTATATTATCGTTATAGATTATCTATTTTTATATTAGGATAATTTTTGAGCAAAATTCTAAAACATAATAAAATTTTTTATTAGAAACCAATTTAAAGGATCTCGATAGTAAATTTATAAAAAATCGTTATATATTTCACTAATTTTATAATTTTAAAATTATGAAAGGATCTCACTAGCCTATAGTACATTTATAGTCTAATTTACATTATTTCTCATACCATACCATCAATATCTTATAATTTTTATGTAAACAATAATCTTATACGTAATTTATAAAAAATCGTTGATTAGGAAACAAATTTTATAATTATGAAAGGATCTCGATAGTGTATAGTTTAATTTTTTCATAAACATCTTATAAACAATAAATATATTATAAAATTATTAAAATTTAACATAAAAATAAGAATAAAATACCTATTTATCAATTGGCTATTTATAAATATACAAAACTTAAGTACTTACTATATTTTCAATCAAAATAATTGTGCCGAGAAAGCATATTTTAAAGATAATATATTTTAGTAGTGATTTTAAGGGTGATGTAATATTTTAATATTTTAACTGCATGAAATTTTATTGCTATATACATGAATGAAAATAATTATAAGCGAATTTTTAGAGACTCAATAAAACTACAGCTTAACAAACACCTTTTGATACATATTTCATAGAAAAATTATATAAATATAACGATAAAAATTAAAAGGAAAAATATAGCATGTTATATTGATCAAGTAAAGCAAACATTCTACCAAAAATACAATATTACCGAATTTCATAACATGTTCTTGAACAGATGTGTGTTAAACTTCTATATAGAGAATATGAACCGAAACCAATATACACATATTTGATATTATTCAATTAGAAAATAATTAAAAATAGATTAAAATTTAAATTTAAACATTAACAATCGATACATGCAATGTAATTGTACTATTTTTATTTTTTGTTTTAATCAATAATTTGACTTACGATATACTATATTCCATTGGTATAAATAAATTCACTCGTTAAGGCAAACGCGTGTAGCATTCATCTTCAAATTTTTTCTTTTATTTATCAGAGTACAAAACCAGAACACAGAATGATTTTTCGTTACTTTGTAAATTTATGATAGTCTGTGATACTGTTACCCTATATTACACTGAAAATTGGACAGGAATTCAGGGAGTGTACTTATTTACGGGTGATGCTTCGCGTTAGAGATTCGAGGATTGTGTTTATTCACTGGTGGTATTAATATTCAAGCTTTTGTTTTTTTAAATATTAAATTCAATTCAAGTTTAAATTTAAACTGTATACATATATGGTGCGGGAACTCTTAAATCGACAATATGTTTCATGTTAAAACTTCTTAACTAAGAAATAAATACAAAATTTAACCAGTACTATTATAGAAAAGGACTTTCTTGGTAATATTATCGGTCAAATTTTGGATTTACTTCTTAGTTAAGAAGTTTAACATGAAACATCTTGTCGATTTAAGAGTTCCTGCACCATTCGATATCAATCTATTCATTTACCAACCGTTAAATGAAGAATGCAAGTAGAATATCGATTTATTAATAGCAATATTAAACGTAAATACATATGTATTGAAATTAAGATATCAAACACTTGGCGTCACGGGGCAATAATGACTGCTTTTTTGTTTAGCTCAGCAACAATCAATCGGAAGTTACTAAATACCGTATAGTGTTGGCAATATCGATATACAGTAGAACGTACTTTTTTCCTTTTCTAAGACTCACGTGGTTCCACATATTCACCATGGGAATATAGAAATTCTGGAAAATTTCAAAACACGTGATCACTGTCACTTTATCTTGATGTAAATATGCATGAATTAAATTAAAGATATACGTATGTTGAAAAAAATGTTATTTCGAAAAAGCTATATTCCTCTATGTCTTTTGTTCTATTGTCGTATTTATCAAAGAATGTATCGGGAGTGGGAACCAAATTTCAAATTTGAGTCCAAAAACAACTTTTTGAGGATGATACACTACGCGAGTAATAATCGTTTATTCCTCTGAAATTACTTTTTAGTTTAACCTTAATAGTGATAGATATTAGCAGACTTAATAGAATGGATCGTTAATGTTGTTGGCCTTTTCTGTAAGAAATGATTGATAATCAAGATAAGAAAATTTAGTTTTTCTTGTTTTTGCAGGTTTTAACGAATAAGTTTATTTGTTTCAAGATGACAACCCACAGCCCGGTTTGAATTTAATTGAGCATTTATGGTCAAAATTCAAGGTCATGTCATCAGCTTAATATCTTGTGTTTGCATTTACTATCATAATTCACGACTTCATGCTCAGTCTCTATTAATCGATTGCGTTTTTAGGTTTGAACAGTGATAGGGTAGGGTTAATGAACGAATTTGTGTATATATTGCAAAAGTTTGGAATTCTCTTGGAACAATATCAAATTATATGATGATACCCACACAAACGTTATCGTTATGAAAAAATAGCATAAATGCTGGTTCATATAGCGTCTTTTATGTAGTGATGAAAATTTGGTCGTGCATTCCTGGACTAGCTTGTTCTGATGCCTGCATTTTGAACACAGAGCATACGGTCAGCAGTCAGCAATCATTATGAAATAAAAGCAAGAATCAATCAATCAATCTACATCAAAACAGATATAATCAATACGCCATACCCTCACGCTAGTAATTTTACAGTAACGTCTTGGTTTATGGGTGCTAAAGTTTCGGGGTTCGAAAACCACATCTGATTCCCTAAAATCATGCCAAATGCCGAGTAGTAACGTTCGCATTCGGTCCGATTATTATCTTGCAGTTGACAATTTCTGTCCAAAAAGCCGTTGGACATATTGTGTCTGTCTAATGTGTCTTTTTTATATACCCAATAGTCCCATTGGACAGAAAATTGTCAATCCCGATCACCCTGCATTCCGCCAAATATCGATTAGCGTATACTCTGCAAAATTAAGACATTATATAGGATAAGTATTAAACATAAATTATGAATAGGGCTCTGATGGAAAATTATCATGTGGTGTTGTAAAGGCGCGGCTAAATATATCGCGTTGAAAAAACTTGGTCATTCCAAATCACTATCAAAGAATTTGGTGCAATGCGACTGATTTCGACCCAAGATATAACATGGACTTATCAATCATCATTCTTTAATATTCAAAATAAACCACGAGCCAATTCTAAAATATTTCGAGTTTCGGCTAGGATTTAGAATTATAGGGTTTGGGATTTAGGCAAAAAAGTAATCAAATCTGAAATAGTACATGTTATAGCCAAAGACAAAGGTGTTTCGAAACCTTTGTCTTTTAACACTATGCATTGATTGAAGGTTTATTGAAATTAAAAGTTGACCAAACTATAGAGTCGATACAAAGAAATAAGCTATCTTGGCATTTTTCAGCATTTTTTGCCGAGTACCTCAATCGCTAAACAAAACAGAGAATTAACCAATTAATAAAATATTAAATGAGAAAGAATGCTCCTTTGCTTGCACATGTTATTCTCAATTGGTGATTTCAAAATCGATCAAACTGGACACGTATATGCTATTTTAACGGAGGATAATTATCAAATACATGTACTACGTACATGTAGATTGTTTTATTGGCTAACGCTAATAATCTCAACTTCCAAATCCTCGACCATATATAGTAATTGATCATTAATTAGTATATTACGCGGTCGTAACGGTAATAATTTCGAACTAAAATAGCCAAGCTAAATAACTGAAACACACACACATGTTAGGTTGTTAAATAAATAAATCTGACTACATTATTCTATAAATAACGATTTCGTAATCACTGTTTGCTGCATTCTTCTATAAAGAACAATTTCGTAACAACTGTCTGTACCAAACACAAGCTCTGGACTAAAATAATGTTCCTTTAGCTAATAAAATATTTGCACTTGACATGACAATGAATGGTAATTTGGAATACTAATAATACAAGTTCAAAAAATCAGCGTTAGCTCGTTAGCAAAGATATTCTTTAAATTCATGTATGGGGGTTATATCAAGAAAAGTCATATTTGGCTAGTAAGTTCGACAATTAAATTAAAACTAAACTTTCCACTCTTTTTTGTTTGGTGTATTAAGATTACTCAAATCACAGAGGATAAAATGAATATGCTTAAAACAAAGAACTCATCAAACATGGCAAAATTGTAGCATGAAAAAGCTACCAAGAAATTTGAAAAGCCTTTCAAAAAAATTAACTTGATTGATTGAAAACATGCCAAATAAAATATGGGTGCAAAGACTTACCACATCAGACTGAAAAAAATTTGGTAGGGACGTGTAGTCGTGTTATTTAGCCAACTCGGCGAGTTTTGTCCAGCAAAAATTTAAAACGCTACATCTAATAAAATTAATTTAAAAGAAAAATTTCAACCAAGGATTGCGAAGTCCACTCAGTCTATAAGGAATGCCCTTCAATTTCATGAGGCGAATGACACTATAAACAATATCCTTTTACAAGACCTCAATTATTGTTCTTAATAGCCGAAAAAAACATGCTTCTTTTCCATTGTTCTTTTTCAGCTCCACATTCCAAATATGTCTTGGGCAACAGAAAATTCAGCTGGAAATTAAACAGTAGATTCCTCCAATTAATATATCCCAGAGCTATAAAAAAGGATCCTTCAAAAGATTTTGGTTTTGTTACTGTTGTTTTGTATTAATTTGTTAACATTAGTTTCTGTCAAAATCCCAATAGTGGTTGACTCGTAATCGACGACTAAAGTTTAAAGAAAATTTGACTTAAGCGAAAGCAAGAATCTGTTTAGCACTAGTCCAAATAATAAAATTCAGTTCATATTTAGCAAGAATTCAATACTGAATGCACTGAATTGTGATGCACAATGGTCTTTAAAACTTCCATTGATGTTTCAATTCAACATTAATTAAAGAACATCCCACCCTTAGCAAAATAATAGAATAAATAAAAAACATATATTTTGTGTTTAAATTTAAATATGATATTCATGGATTAAATTTTGTACTAAGAATATTTTTCTATGATTTTTCTCGAATGCGATTATTGAATATAAGATATAGATTATAAAAATAAATAGAGATTGCACTGTTACGTTGTGATTGTTCCCTTTAAGTTATTGCACTTGTTTATGCTTATGCGAATATTCTTTTTAATTTAGCAAAGTGTTGTTACGAAAAAAAAAAGATTTCCATGAGTTTGAATTAATACCTAAACATAGATTTATCTGTTATTATTATACATTTTCTTCTATGAAATAAGACAACTCATGTTAAATTTCTCAAATAACGATAAGTAGATTTTGTATCAATAATAATAGCTTACACATTTTCGATCTTAATTATTAGATTTTGACATTTCTTTGAACGAGTGGGAGAACTTTAATTTATTAATTAATTTCCGTTATAATTTTACCAATCGATTTATTAGTTATTAAGTTCATTTTAACAAAATTACCGTAAACTACTGACTAATACCCTCATTGTAGAATATTTAATCTTGATTTAGTCGAATTTTTTTTTGGTAAAACTGGCTGACTGATTATTTTACTATAAAATGGATAATTCAAAATTCACCGTGTAATTTCTTCAAAAATTTATGTCACTAAATAATAGTTTCGAAGTTAAATTTAGGAAAGGGGTACAGTCACCGGCGAAAATAATGGCGGTTAGATTGTTATATAAATTTACTACATTTTTTATTGAAGCAAAATATAGATGAATCTGCGAAAATCTAATAGGAGCATATCACAACTCATTTTTCCGATTGCAGGTTGTTAAAATTTTCAAACCTTATTTTCTCGATAATCAGTTATCAGATTTTTGTCATTTTAGTCTTGTTATATTCGTCTCAATAAGACGAACATTTTGTCAGTGATTTCATTTTAATCAGAACAATATTCATCGAATTATTGCGAATTTCAGTTTTTTTTTTTTTAAGTTAGAAACGTTCAAGTTACTTTTTAGAACATCAAGTTATCATCGAACTACTTGCATTGACACGGAAAGAGCGCACACAAAGTCTGATATTTCAGGGACATAATGCCCTACTCAGAGGCACTTTCAAAAAAAATATATATTTTTTTAATTTATTATACAATTAAATGAAATATAATAAAAACTGGTCGCCATTATTTTCGCCGGGGACTGTACTTTAGTCAGTAGTTTATGATACTTAAATTTTTTGTGTTATTCTCGAAACCAAAATTTTATTGCATCCTGGGATTCAAGATATTAGATATATAGAACTATTAAATTCACTGAAAAAGACTACATATGTATTAAGCCCTGTTTTGCTAAGTTCAAAATATTACAGTGGCGAAGAAGCGATAATGATGAAAACTAGCTAGCAATGTTTACATTTGACGAACCATTGAATGTAAATTTAGTAATACTTTAAAATTTTATATTAATTTTTGGACTGCGGTGTACGAATACATTTCGTCAAACTCTAATCACTAATACACATAACATAATTATAAGTTCGAGATTGCGTTTGTTGATTAGACATTTTAACATTTTTGTGACAGTTTGAGTGTTTGACGTCTCAATTAATATTTCGATTCTTTGTTTATTTAGAAATAACTTAATTAATGATTAAATAAAACAAAGTAAAATACAACAAGCTAGAGAATAAACACAAAAGATTGAGAGAACAGAACGAAGTAACGGAATAACGGAATAACGAAATAACGAAATAACGAGGTAACGAAATAACGAAGTAAAGAAATGACGAAGTAACGAAGCAACGAGTTAACGAATTAACAAAATAACGAATTAACAAAGTAACGAATTAACAAGTAAGTAACGAAGTAATGAATAACCAAAGAACGAAAGGACGCACAGGTTAATAAAAACCTTGTCTAATAAAAATTCACAAAATCAATGCTAGAAATATTATTTGGAAGTATTCAGAATGATATGTATATTAAAAGAATATATCATGAACGAGAAAGCTGAAAAAGGCTTAAAAGATAGTAAATTTTACGTGGTAAATGCGTCCAGCACATTCTCCCATTTAAACGAAATTAAGTATAATATAGCAAATTTTCAAAAATGCCATTTGATAAATCATTTTCTGTCATATATAGTGAAAGTGATTGTGGCTGCGATAAGGGGGGAGATATCAGCGGTGTTATTGGAATCTTAGTGATGAATGGGTTTAGCATTGAAGTTTTAGTTATATCATTATCGTTGTTATTAATATCATTGTCGTTGTTGTCAATATTATTAATATTCTGAGAGAAGAAAAATAACGCGTCGTCGATCGAATTTTGAACGTCATTGATCGTAAAATCATCAGTATAGTCTTGATGATGATTATGGGTTGTTGTAAAGTTATTCGTATCTTGGTGATTATCAATGGTTGTCGAGAGTGATGACAACCCATTGATTTGTGAATCGGAAGTTAAAAATGGCAACCTGTTGATTTGTGAGTGGAAAGCTAAAGATAACATCCTGTTGATTTCTTGGGGTGAATTGGCAGTTAAAGATGACGACGACCCGTCTGTTTCTATTGCATCTTGAGGTGAGTTAGAAGCTAAAGATGGCGACATGTCGATTTGTATTACTTCTTGAGGTGAGTTTGAAGTTAAAGATGACGACATCCCGTCGATTTGCATCGCTTCCTGAGGTGAATTAGAATTTATTGTGTTTGACTTAACTGACGAAGAAAATACATATTTTTTCTGTTCTCGAAAAATAAATTCTTTATAGTTTGAATTTTTTGCATGTTTTGGTTTATATTTATAATTAGGATATATACGCTTATGATTCTCACAAGCTATTTTCTCCAATATTTTGAAAAAATCCTTGACTTCACTTGATTGCAATTTCCACTTTAAGCTGCATTCATTTGCTGTGATTTTGACTTTTTTCTTAACACCAGGACTACGTAGACGTATATTAGCTTCAAAATCTTTTCGAAAGATAATCCAACTGTTTTGTGGTCGTGGTGGTTTATCACAATTAATGCGAATTTTCTTGGAAGGCTTTGTTAATTCTTCAATTGTAAGAGTTAGAGAATAAGGACATTCATTCAGAAGCTTTCTTTCAGTTTCCGATAAATATTCGAAATTGTTCATTTTTATTTTGTCTTCTATTTTGAAGGTAGGGTAAGGGACTGGGAGATATAGAACTACGCGATGAAATGCTCCCATTATAAAGTCAAAGATCGTCGTTCATCGGAGTTTGTCAGGATGTTAAAAAGTCAAAGATCGGCGTATCCCTTAAATGCATCACTAATACCAAGAATTCGCAAAAGGGAATTATCATTACAACGGTTCCACAAATCCAATAATTTTTTTGCAAGAAGTGTTTCGGTAAAGATCTACAAGCTATAATATATTAGAAGAATGATAATGAAATATGCTTTCTTCTAACGTTAAACTTTTAATCACCTAGTTGAATTAGAATTTCTTTTTTAAAATAGATATGTCTTGATATTTTCTATCCTAATATTAATCCTTTTTTCTCAAATACAAAAAATTGTTAAAGTATCTTGCTTCAAAAGTTATCGTTATCGTCAACGTAGTACCAATTTTGCTAAGATTACAATACGGTAATCATAATTGTCTCTAATTTTTCATCAAATGTTTCAATTATAAGATTTGCAACCTGCAGCAAACATAAATTTACTATATATCATATAAGAAAATTATGTAAAGACGGCTTTGTCTCTTAGGCTAGTGCTTTGTTTTAATAAATCAATTGTTTTTATTTCTTATGAAAAACCATTTTTTGTACTTCAATATTTGATATTTTTTATTCTATAATAAAAAATCTTTGAAGTATCTTGTTTTAAAAATAGCAAATTAATTTCTATCGTGTTAATGATTGCACGTGATGATTGTCAAAAATGACAGAACCGAGTAAATATATTCGACTTTTTTGTCAAACTTAATGACAACTTCCTCTGAACTTTCTACGAGTCATAAAAACACAATAAAAAGTTCAGAAAGAACCTATTTTACTTTTTTTTGTTAATAAATCCTACGTTGCAAAAGATTTTTGTTGAAACGAATTCAGTATTCTATTTCAAACGAGCGCATATGTCACTGTGTAATGGCACAGACTCAATCACTGATAACCAAAACTTCAATAATATATACAAAATTCCACCGCTATTTTGAAATACATATATATTCAATCCTCCCTAAATGCAATCTCCCTAAATGCACGCACTATATTTACTCTCTTTAAATGCGCGGCATGGCTTGGTTCCAAGCTCTAAATATTTTACTCTCCATAAATGCATGTTATGTCAGTTTTGTTCATATGGTCCCGACAGATTGCATTTAGAGAGGGTGACTGTAGCTTAAAAAAACTTACTTAGAAGCATCATCTTAACAAAACTGCTTTCCTAATAAATTTAACATAACATATTGTTGCCAGCCAAAAAGCTTGCACCGATCAAACTGGCATGCGAGTAATCGAACAAAGATAATGATAATAAACAAACATGCTCATTAAACCTGTTTTTTCCTACATACGTATTTACTTTTTCCCACCATTATCGTTATCGATAACGCTAACGCTAATATCTAATATCTATAATAACGATAAATAATAAAACCAGCAAGTATCAGGTGCAATTTTTATTGTCGTTATCGTTATCGTTATGCATTATTATTGTCGTTATTAAAAAGTATACAAAAAATCAAGTTTAAACATTAATACGTATACCGATAATACATATTAACGTTAACGCTTGATCTTATATTTATTTAAAGACCGTTACATATTTTGCATTACTCACTCCTTATAATTATTCAAAGACTGCTTGCTACATATTTAGCATTACGTATTTTAATCGATCAATATGACATCAGAAACCTCAACAAATTTATTATTAATTGTGACAGATTAAAACGAAACCAGATTAAAACGAAACCAGATTATAATAAAATCAAATCAAAATAAA